GTCTTTGCTATTTATTTTGCGTTTTTTATTTGTGGCTCTTTGTTTTTGTGACACTTGGAAAACACTGGTTAGGAGGGGGGAAATAACCAAGCACGTGTTGAACAAAACATTTCTGCATTTCAGGAAGTTGGACTATGTGATCCTTGTGGTCGCTTCCAACTCTACAATTCTATGATTCTGTGTATATAGAAGAACAAATCTTGCTGAAGTAGAACCAGCATGGCTTCTGCAAGGGGAAGTCCTAACAATATCTGAGTTATTTGAGAAAGTCAACAAGTATATTGATAGAGGTGATCCAGTTGATATCATGCACTTGGACTTTCAAAAAGCTTTTGAAAAGGTCCCTTGCCAAAGACTCCTTAGTAAGCTTAGCAGTCATAGAATAAGAGGAGAGGTCCTCTTGTAGATCAGAAATAGATTAAGTAGCAGGAAGCAGAGAGTAGCAATAAATGGACAGTTCTCTGAATGGAGAGATGTAGAAAGTGGAGTCACTTAAGGATCAGTATTGGGACCTGTGCTTTCTAACTTCTTCATCAAGAGTTAGGACTGAACAGTGAGGTGGCCAAGTTTGCTGATGATACTAAATTGTTCAAAACTGTTAAAAAGGTATTGTAAAGAGCTCCAGAAAGATCTCTCCCAACTTAGTGAATGTGTGGTAAAATGGCAAATGCAATTCAAGTGCAAAGTGATGCATGTTGGGGCAAAAAAATATTAATTTCACATATATGTTCATAGGGTCTGAACTGGCAGTGTCTGACTAGGAATGAGATCTGGGGGCTGTAATAGATAGCTCTATGAAGATGTGCAACAACTGAAAAAGGCAAATTCTATGCTAGGGATCATGAGGAAGGAATTGAACACAAAACTGCCAATAGCATAATGCCATTGTACGAATCTATTGTGTGAGTACATTTGGAATACTATGTGCTTCTGGTCCCCGCATCTAATAAAGGGTATTCTCATTTGGGGCAAATCTGCACCATTTGCATTTAAGTTTCCCTATTGTGTTTATTAGGCCTTCATTGAGCCTGCTGGGTTCCCTGGTGCCATTCCCATTCCCCATATGGCAACACTAACATTCCCCCACCTCCATCTATCTGTATAAAATTAAGCAAGTGTAAGTTGTTGGCCTAGGCATAATGATGTCTTGTGAAATCTGTTACGCATTATATGCCTATTAACCGTGTTTATATTCTACATAGAATTTAATACTATATATTCTTACATAGTCTTGCATTTTTGTAATAATTAAAAACCCTGATTCCCACTGCATGGGGATTCAGTGGCCGGATGCTAGTCGTCCTTTGTAATCAAAATCAGAGGCAAAGTTCCCATGGCAGAATACAGCTCTAGGCTCAAGTTCTTGGGAAATCATGCCTCTGTAATGATACATGTGTTTGTGTAATAATACATGTTTGTGTGTAATGTGATATGGGACATGTGTAGTCTTGGTAACATTTTATGCGCAGGTAATAATTTAACATGTTTTAAAATCTTCTTTGTGCAGCCATCCAGATGAATATTTATAGTGAGATGCTTTATTTAGCTTGTGGGCTGTTTCCTGTTTTGCTTCGGACTATGGAAAATGCAACTCTAGTGTATTGGACTACTTTGCAAGTGCTTTGCACCTTGGTTTTCAGAACTGTCAAATTTGTCTGAGCTGTATGGTATGTGTAACCCCTGTAGTTGAAAGAGACGCCTAGTAAGAATAATTACAGTCACATATTTTGTTCTTATGCTAGAGCACGTCATTTGTTAGGGTATGGCTTTTCTGTAACCTTTTAAAATTTGGGTGGGGAACCTGTGGCTTTTCAGCTTCTATCATTCCTGAGCAGTGGCCATCGAGGGAGCGGTGGATGGAAGTTGAGAATCCAACAACATTTGGAGGGCCAACAGGTTCCTCACCCCTGTTTTAAAATCACTGCAGTGGAAAGGGGGGAAAGTTTGCATACAGGTATTAAATGATCGATTTTCTATTGTGTTCAGGTAACTTTATTTTTACCACTCTTCAATGAAGAACAAGAGGATGCAGTGCAGGTGCTTCAAGCTGTCAACGATTACAACAGGAGGTTCTCAGGACAGCCAAGATCGGTATGTGTGGGGATAGAGTCAATGGGACCAGGGGTACAAATTCCATTCACCAGTAGCACACAACATTACAGAGCGCTGGAGCATCTCTGAAGTGCAGTGCAAGCATAGGGGCCAGTCCCTGCCCTTCCCTAGCACTAAGGTTGGAAGGAGGAATGGGCTTGTTTGGCTATAGTGCTTTGAAGGTACTCAAGAGTATGGTAGCAGAAGGACAAACCCTAGCCTTGTTCTTTAGCTCTGGAGAGAAAGGCCTAGGTTTGTGGTTTTGCAACTGGGCTTCAGAGACAGGTCCAGTCGTCCTTCCAGCCTTGGAGGTGGAGAAGAGCTTGTCCCCACGTTTGTGCTAGAGTTAGTCCCCACTTCATCCCTTTCTAGCTCCAAGGTGGAGAGGAGCATTGGAGCTGTTTCTGTAATGCACTGTGTAGTGTAATTCTAGGAACAATCTTCCCCGCCCCCTTCCCTAGCCATAAGCTTGCATTTGCGGTGAGGGAGCAAGGGATTCTCTTTGCATTTGTACTGTGTTGCAGAGGTGAAGGAAGTAGACAATGGCCTTTGTGGTGAGGGATCCAGAAACTACATATTTTTTTTTTTTTTGGTCAGCCAGCAAAACCAGCCAGATTTGTGGCCCCCACCCAAGACAAATAATAATCCTTGTTGATGTGGTGAATTTTCGGGAACAAAATAAGGGATTTAATTGAGAAATACCAGCTTTAGAGGCCCCAGGCATGGAGAGTTCCCACCTTTTGTATGTCTTTAGAGACTCAGCAAGGTTTGTCAGAAAAGAGTTTATGCTATGTAGCAGTTAAGAGAGGGAGCTGTAAGCCTAAAGCAGGGGTAGGCAACCTAAGGCCCATGGGCCACAAGCTGCCCACGGGGGTTGTTTAACCAGCCCACGAGCCACCCCCAAACCAAGCCATCTGCTTGGTGAGTCCCCACGTGCTGCGCTAAACAGGCACAGCATGGTGCAGGGACTCACTTCCACGGCACCAGAAATCGCGTCTGCACAGACACAAGACGCCAGAAATCGGGGGGGGGGGTGTCGCTCAGGCACACACGCGATCTGACCCATGGAGGGATTCCACTGGAGTGAATTGGCCCAGGCAAGGTAAACCTTGCCAACCCCTGGCCTAAAGGATCCTTGTTGAAATCTTGCCCCAACCCATTAACGATGCTTTGGCAAGCCACACTCTCTCACACTCCCCCTCTGCAATCTATTATGATTAATAATATTGGTCTGCCTTCTGGGTTCTTTTGGGTAAGGATTGTTGAGATATAAAGCATTCTAACACTTAGAGAAAGTGATGCTTCAATATTGAGTCTTATTTAAGTATGTTTTGTATTGAATGTAAAATCTTAAACAATATTTTGTTTTTCCCATGTGTTTGTTTAATCTTGTACTTGGTATAAAAAAAACCTGATCCAAGATGCTGTTTATATTCAGAGTCCCTATGAATGAGAATATAGATCTTTAAGAGGGAGATACTGGGGGAAAGGGTCATGGACACAGTCCAAGAAGGAATTACACTATCATGCTTTTTCACCAATATCACAATTTGTGTAAATGCACGTGAGCTTGTAATATATGTGTCAAAAGTCCCTGAGATAAATGTACCATGTATAACATTTACCAAAAATTGGTCTTTCTACATTTTGTTTAGATTATGGAAAGGATTATGGATTTGCCCACGTTATTGCGCCATGCGTTCAGAGAAATGTTTTCCGTTGGCGGTCTCTTCTGGATGTTCCGCATCCGAATATTCCTCTGCCTCATGGGAGCTTTGTTGTACCTGGCATCCCCCCTGGATTTTCTCCCCGAAGCCCTGTTTGGAATTTTGGGGTTTTTAGATGATTTCTTTGTGGTGTTTCTGCTACTCATCTATATATCTATAATGTACCGAGAGGTTGTAACACAGAGACTGAACAGATGAAGGCGAATGTCAGTGACCAACATTCAGGAGCACTTAAGGGGGGTGCTTAACTAAATGAGCCACTATGAAATAATCATCTTGACACATTTTCAGTTTCTGCTATTAAATAGCTTCTAGCCAAACATCTTATGTAAGCATGAAAATTGTCATAATGGTGATAGCGAACTGGATTTTCAGTGTTTGTTATATAAAAGAGATCTGATTCAATATGTAATATACTGCTTACATATGTTTACAGTGGATGAGTAATTGTACGTTATTCAAGGTACCACCAATTATAAGGGAATTTCTTTTTGAACGTTTAACAAAAAAAAGAAAGTATTCGGTTTAGCTGGACATGTATTTAAGGCACTACTCAATGTACAGTTTTTTTATTCAATGTACAGTTTCAAAGACTGCTTAATGTCTCATTGCGGGTGCTGAAGTGGGAGGGAATTGTTGGTTTTTAAAATAACCTAGTTTAGCATTTCTGCCTATGCAGTAAGTGCTCAAGCTTGGGCAGCAGCATACTATTGCACAAACATTCTAAGTACAGTATTGCTTTAGCTGCAATTACATACATCTCTCCATATAACATTTGTACCTTGCAATGTACACTTGTCCATGCCATGATTAATGATGGTATGTGTTACAGATAATTGCTTTTTACATTGCAGGTTCAACATGATGGCTTGGATAAAATAGAAGACAGCCCATCTCAAGAGGGGAATATATAGTATAGTATAATGTAATCTTAACTAAACCTTTGAACTTGAATCAAAACTAGGCTCCCTGATCATGTGAAATGCTAAGTGCTAGTGATTAGCTGAAATCTAAAACTGAATGTTATACTTGAAATAACTTCTCGTAATGGGCACTATCACCGTGTTGTAGGTATACTTACATGCGTGCTTGCTTAGAAGTAATCCTTATTAAACTCACTGGGACTTGCTTCCAACTAAGCATGCATAGAATCGGGGTGCATACCTTCTAAGCTTGCACCACATGGTGTCCATGAAATGCTATGAAACACCTTGTTTGAGATGCTTACCCTCCATCAAATTTAAATGGTTCTTGAGGCAGGAGAGAAGTGTTGAACAGGTGCAAAAGCACTGGGCTTTGAACAGCCCAGGAAGAGAAGAGATAGCATCCTTTTATTTCTATTCCTATGTACAAGATTTACAAAACACCCCCCAAAATGCACAGATTAGATGCAGGGACTTGAGGCCCCTGTGCTTGGAATGCTCCTTATCACTTAACCATGAAGTCACAGCCTTGTTTGGCCAGTTCCTGCCTCAAATAGTCATTGGGAAGAGAGCATTTTGGCATCACTAGAGACAGAGCTCTTTAAGAGAGAAAGATATGGGATCTTCTGGAGCAGCCTATGGGATCTTAGCCCACTCCTCTCCGGTATGAATTTTCTACACCAGCGTTAACTATGGTGAAGGTTTATAGCAACACTAATATTAACTATAGATAATATCAATCAAGGTTTTATTTTAAGCAGCTTCACTCTCTGTTTTTTTCATACTGGCAAAACCTGGCTGGTGTTAACCATGGTTGAAGTCAGTACCAATGCAACTCTTAGCCATAGCAGGGAAATTCATGCCAGAGGAGAGGAATGTGAGACACCACAATCTACTCCCGATCATATAACTATGGTTAAGGGAGCAAGAGCATTCTGTGCACTGGTCCTTTGACACTTTGCTTTGTTTAAGGCAGTAACTCCTTCAATTTGATAAAATCCTTGCCAAAGAAAACTCATCCCTCACTTACTAACTGTACTTTTTTCTATTAAAGTCCCTAAGTACTTGAAAATATATTTGATCCCCTTGTATTCCAGACAAGAGCATATTTTGAAATATTTGTATTGTCCATGCATCCATTTCCTTGCAGGGTATCTGAGTGACATTGTAAGCATATGAACATGTATCAAAATATAAGTTAAGTGCATTGAAATACTAACTTTTGTAGAGTGGGGAGGTTTCTCTCTAGTCTCAGTTTAAGAACCTGGGCTTGAACAAGGCAAAGGTTCTCTTAAAATGCAAAGGCGATTTCATTCTCACAAATGTTAATTGTTTCTATGAACTTAGTCTTAAATCTGCAAAATCATGGCTGGGGAAAATGTTTGAATGTATTAATTCTGTCTCGAGATTTACATTTGGTTTGTTCTGTCTCTACTTGACATGAATGTTAAAAACAAGGGAAGGAAAGAGAGTGAATTTAAAAAGAGAAAACACCTCCCATCAGTTTTACTGTTTTTAAAGGCTGCCTCTAGTTCCTTTCAATACTTCTGCTTACTCTTGTCATCACTAGTATGTGATAGTGATGTGTTGCCTACCTCGGGTATGATGCCAGCCTGATGCACTAAACAAATCTTCCTTTATTTTTGGTCAACCCAAACTGTATGTAGAAGTTGGGGGAGAACATATGAAAGCACTACTGCACGTCAAGATGTGTAGAGCCTAAAATAAAGTATATAAGAATATAAGTGGGCTGTTTCAGTCTTTGATGTTCCTCTAAAACATCCAAAAACAGTTGCAAAAAGAGGTTGAGTCAAACCCTAGTACATATTGCCTTATTTATTTTCTGGTGGCTGAACAGTCTTCTTATGCAACCCATTTTCGCTTTGAATAAAACCAGATTTCAACTGATTACCGTAACCACAGAGTTGTTTAGTAGCCTTAATGCCCTGTTTGCTACCTGTGCTGATAATTCTCTTTATTCAAGTCTGTATCATCAGTGCAAGTCCCTTTACATAACTTTAGAATGTCTTCCAAGTGGCTTTTGTGTGCCTTCCTTGTCTGTCACTGGTGCTGATGTGAGAAGTGGGCTCGGTCCACATCACACCTTGTCACCTGTCACTGTTCAGCACTCGATTTCTGGAATCTCTGCAATCATTCTTACACCTCATAAAAATAATACAGATATTTTTGTTATACTTAGCTATCCCTGTTCGCAGTGCTGATACTATGCACAGCCTTAGTTATTGGAGCCTTATGCCTCACCCACGCTCTTCTTGCACCTATTCCCTAAAATTGTTTATTTTTCTGCTCAGTTGTTTTAGCGTCAAATGATAAGGCTATATTTCTTATTTTAAAAAACTGGAGAAATCAGCATTTTATATTCTCAGTATATAATTTTAATATGGAATCAGTCATATGATCTCTGTATAATCTCAAACACATACTGTTGCTGCCAACACAAAACTGTGGAGGATAACAGGAAATTTTAATTTCCTATTGTGCATTCTTCTGCATTGCTCTAGAGACGATTTTCTTCCAAAAGGAAATCTGCTTCCTAATCCTTGATGGATAATGTTTGATGTGGGGCATGAACAAACTAATGGTATTTTACAGGAATCACTGCCCTTTTTGCCTGCATATTTTAATATGTCCCTCTGAATCATATCTGGGGACCTACATAGCAATTTCATTCATTCCTAATAGTAATAAAAATCCATTAATTTGGGCAGAATATTTCAGCTGAAAAGCCACATGCAGTATTACAATCAGATAAGAGAGCTTTTCTGTTTTATTGCAAGGCACTTCTCATTCAGAGGAAAAGATGGATTTTTCCAGTATTAGCTTTAAACATTATCTGGAAGAATCACTAACAAGAAATCCTAAAGTTTAGGAATGAATCCTGTAGAAAATAAATGATTAAAGGAATAACTATAAAGATTTGGACAAGAGAAAATACTCCAAACAGAAATCTTGTCTTGTATCTCTTTTTCTTCCATTTCCCTGCTAATTAATGATCTGTATTAATAAAGACACTAGTGGCTACATAATGCTTTTTGATGCACACACACTCAATTTCCCAAAACAACCTTAAGGCCACATACTGATTTATTTGCTGCAAGTACTATGTCAGTTGACTTTCATATGAGGAACAATTAATGACCAAAGTTGGTGTAAAAAGGCTGCCAGAGATCTATGCAGTTGTAGGCAGCATGCTACCATAGATGTTTTACACAAAATGTAAGCTGGCTCATGTATTTACTGAAAATAAACCATGTTTGAAATAAGATTTTTTTTTTGTCCATTTACTGTATTTCTGCATATTTGTAACACTATAATCTTATGCTTTATTCCTTGAAACATGTTTATGGACACAAAAAATCTATTGCATGCACTTTCTGCAGACACTTTTTTCAAATCCCTGCTCAGTCATGAAGCTCACTGAATGGTTTGAATGCATCAGTATCTCTCAGCACAACCAGGCCTCTTGCAAGGATAATGTTAGAGAACTCCAGCTACACTGCCCCATGCTCCTTTTTTTTAAAAAAAGTTTTTATTTATACTTTGACTGCCTTCCCCCTCTTTCTGTGGTTCCCTCAATTTATTTTTTTAAATATCTTCTGCATATCCAAATTCATTTAATTTGCTCATTTAATTTTCTACTTTAAATATATACTCTTCTAAAACTGTAGGTTATTACAATAATCCTGCTAATGTTTTTATCTGTTTGCAATTTATATGCAAATATTCAGTAAATCATTTCCATTTTTTTATTTTAAAAGAATTTGTTATCTTGATTTCTTACTCTTCCAGTGAGTTTCGCCATTTCTGCATATCCCATAAGTTTTTGTATCCATTCTTCCTTTGCTGGGACTCTGGGGCAAGTAGCATTCTTGCTGCTGTAGTAGCAGACATAAATAAATTTCTGTATAATTTAGGTAGTTCTGTCCCTATAATTCCCAAAAGAAAAGCTGCTGGGTTGTTGTTTATTTATAAAAGTTATTTTGTACATCCTTTTCAATTCATATCATTTCCCAGAGGCTCCTTGGAAGAGTGGATGAGATAAATAAAAGGATGTTATCATAGTAAATTGAGGTAAGAAGCCCTTTAGGAGCCCACAGTGCTCCATGACAAATTAAAGCAAATCTAAATTTGTAGTGCACAAATTCCCCCATATGCTGCAGAGAAAAGCTGTGAGTCACTAAGGCTCACTAGGACCCAAATCCTAGAAAGGAACATTCCCCAACTCGACAGAAACTTTAAAAAAAAATTTTGGAATAACTTGGGTGACAATCTGGTTCTTCTCTTCTTCTTGGGGGAGGGGAAACACTGACTCCTTAATTATTATTTACAGCAGATTTCTTTTTGTCTGAAAATGAAATGTTTTATGCCTTCATAAGGAGATGATTTGTTTTTGCCTGGCGAACAGATGCTTAATTAGCGGCAGAGCAGGAGAGGGAAGATCAAAGCGGAGCAGGAATGCTAATGGAATGGCTCATTGCTGGTAGGTGACTAATGAGTAGTAGGGGGGTATATCAGGTGTTACTAATAGCTTGGCTCAGAAAGCTGTTGTGCTCCGCTCGAAACATATGCTTGGTTTCAGATAACAAATCTATTTCTCCCACTCTTCCCTGAAAATTTAGTCAACAAATGGTTTGCGCTTCGGGGTTGCCAACTGACCAGCTTGCTCTCGGACCTTCAGTATGGGTCACTCTACTGTGGTAATAGGGTGCAAAGGGGGCTGACCCAAAAATCAGGACCCGAGCAATATTTTTGCTCCAGTTTCTTCTTACAGTGTCTCACTTGGGGCAGTAGAAGGGCACAAGCAGCCACTCATTGTTCAGGAATACTAAGAATTCATTCTAAAAGGGTTCCAAAACACCCTGCAGGAGTCCCAATCAACAAGTAGAAGACTTAAGGCAGGGGTCAGCAACTTTTTCAGCCTCTGCAGGGATCGCTCTCCTCCTGCGGAGGCTTAGGAGGCAAGCTGCACACCCGCCAGCCATATGGTTGATGGGGCGCAGCTGGCAGGTGTGCAGGAGAGAAAGGGGAGGCCGTCGGCAAAGCCACGCAGCTCCCCTACTCGCGGGGGTGCCCATGAGAGGCTGACACCCTGGCATAACGCACCAGTAAACCCAATGGGAAAGATGGCTCTGCTCCCCAAACATCTGGAGCAGATTGGAGGGGTGTGGAGACACACAGGGAGTGGAAATCCCATTGAGCAGGCAGCTGTCTTTGCAGTAATGGGACAACCTTTTGTAGACGTACTAAAAACCAGCAACTTCCAATCCTGGGGGCGGGGGGGAAAGGTGAAACATGACTGTTTTAACAATAATTTTGAGATATTAAATGATAGAGCCTGGTGAGGGGGAGAGAATACAAGAGCAAGAGTGCCACCACTCAAAAGACCCTGTTCAGTTTGAATAAAGCTATTGACATCACCAGTGTTTATAGATGAATAAACAGTTATCCAGATTAATTCCTAAAGATCCAGACTACTAGGACTTTGCAGGTCAGGAGTCAGGACTCCTTTGATTTTGCTAAACTGGTGGCCAGTTAAGACAATGAAGAACAAGCATCGTTCTCTGTTTGCCACTGGGACGTGGGTGGAGCTGTGGGTTAAAGCACAGAGCCTAGGACTTGCCGATCAGAAGGTCGGTGGTTCAAATTCCCGCAATGGGGTGAGCTCCCGTTGCTCAGTCCCTGCTCCTGCCAACCTAGCAGTTCGAAAGCCCATCAGAGTGCAAGTAGATAAATAGGTACTGCTCCAGCGGGAAGGTAAACGGCATTTCCGTGTGCTGCTCTGGTTCTCCAGAAGCAGCTTAGTCATGCTGGCCACATGACCCGGAAGCTGTCTGCAGACAAACGCTGGCTCCCTCGGCCAATAAAGCGAGATGAGCGCCGCAACCCCAGAGTTGGCCATGACTGGACCTAATGGTCAGGGGTCCCTTTACCTTTACCTTTTAAAGCCGGGCTGCTGCATTCTGCACCATTCAAGGCAGCCCACATACAGTACATCACATTAATGATGTTTAGATGGCACCAGAATGTGCTAGAGAGAGTACCCAAGCCTTGGAATTAGTTACAGCCAACTCATTCTACACATCAGCTGGAGAGCAGCCTACATCCCTACAGATGTTTTTACACTCTTCACACCTGACAGCCAGCATGGCAAACCGAGATTAAGAGAGCTGTTATAGTCCAGCCACATCTGCAGTGCTGCGGGTTCTTCTTCACCCTTGCCATACATACTTCCTATAGTTAAACTCAAAAAAACTGCTGGCAATGTGGTGTTAATAAAGCAATCAAGATGGGAAAGGTGAATCAACTTGGAGATTAGTCACAGGGTGAGTGGGCTTTAGAGAGGCGTGAAATAAGACTCAAAATGTAAACTAGCTTGGCGTCCACCCACCCTCCCATCATTAACAAGATATGCTTTACTTGCAAAGAAACAGATATGTAATAAAGCAACTGGCTTCTTACCAGATTTTCTGCAGTCAGAGGTCAGTGCTGCCAGCTTGTCTGATGGACGTTCAAGGCTGCTCAGATCAACACGCACACTTAAGAAAGCTTCTAATATGTTATTTTGACCTAGAGTGGTTCACTAGTCACTAGGGGGGAAACACAAGCTCAGTGAGTAAACCATGAGATTTTTAATTGCACGGTCATGGGTTCGTCAGAGTCATGCGTCCCTTAATGTGCCATTTTTAGGTGACCAGGTGCAGCTGGGCACAAGAAGAGGGGATTCCAGCAGGTGAAGCTTTTCTTATGCATGAGTAGAGAAAACTGCACCTGCCCAAAATCTGCCCCTCGCCCTTCCTGGCAAAACAGCACACGGAGAGTCTTCAAGGTTGAGAAAGTGTGAAATGAAAAGCTTATCCCTCAGTATTCTTGCTAATTGCTGACAGCTACTGCAATGACTGGACAACGCAGTCAGCGACAGCTCATCTGTGATCGCTCTTACCTGTTAAGATTGTCCACTGGTTTTTAGTTGATTAGTCATCGCCAGTTAAGGAACAGTATCATCTTAAACTAAAGAATTTGGAGCTCTTCAGTTTAAGGATGACTAATGGGGCATGTGCCAGAGGCTTGTAAAATTAGGAACAGTGTGGGGATGATACAGAGAGAGACTTTTTCTCTCTCACGCACACTTGGTTGGAAGGTGCGCCATCAAAAATGATGATGGAAGTTGATTTAAGAGCAGGATCAGGCCAGGTCAAAGCTG